GCCCTATGCCATTTCAGACAAGTGGCTGTCTAGTCTCTTCTTAAAAGGCTCCAGTGATGAAGGACCCCCAACTTCTGAATCTCTTCCACCACTCTTTAAGAGAGGACTGTTTTTCTTAGACAGGACTGTGTTACATATTTGTTAACCTAGGCTCCCAGAGCCACAACTATATTTAGAAAGCATACACCATACAGGTTTTTGGAATGGATCCTGCCCTGTGTACTATTCCTTTTTAAATAAAATAATAGCATACCTCTATCTGTTTGGAATTCAGCCCCATCATGAAAGTGGGCATAGAATTGTAGCTGTTTAGATTTTTTTTAACCTATTTCATCCTTAAAAGTTGATTCACTAATAAACGCAGTTCTGAGAAATGCAGGAAATGTATAGGCTTATCCTTTGGGAACAATTTACTGAGGGTGCCAGCAGAGTTTGACGTGAACAAAGGAAGCACTAAACTGTGGAAAATCCCTGTTGCATCTGTTTTAATGCTGGGATTTGCCTGAGAAGTTACATGTAGAGTTCTCAAAATATACTTTGTAGTCTCTTGGAGATTAAAATTGTATAATAATAATAAAAGGCATCGTGATAATAATGATAAATACTGCACAAAGCAGCTTCAGCAGAGCCTCTAAAAAAGTTTGTTCAAGAATTTTGGCTACTGTAATCTGGATAAACATGAAATGTGATGTTATTATTTCTAGAACTTTCTCTTTGATTAGCTGTTTACTAGATTGCCATCAGAACACATGCCAGGAGCAAGCATGTATTAATAATATTTATTATCCATCAGAATACATAAACTGGACGGAGCAACCAGTATCTATGGAAGAACCAGAAAATGCAGCTAATCCCTTGTAATCCTGGCTCCAAAATAAATGGGCAAATGATCTCTCTTTCTTAAATAAAGTGCCTTTTTGGAAAAGTTCCTCTATAATTAAACATAGTGCACTTAGTTTTTCCTCAAGGTAATCTTGGAAAAATGGAATGTACCTAGCATTCATTCTTTGGTTGTCCCGCTTAACATTTTGTGGAGTGTTATAGCATAAGTGTTATAGTTAGAATAATATATTTTACTTGGCTTGAATTCAGAGGAAAAGATACACAGGTCCACCATACATAATATTTATTAAGCGTGAGGTTTACTTCTAAGTTCTACTTTAATACTTCTACATCATAAAAAAAATGGTACTCTTTAAAGCTGTCATCCATGTGTTTTTCTTCTCTATATTTGCTTTGTATTCGCTGGGGTTTTTTTAGGACCAGAAATCCTCATTATGACTTCTCCTTGTCTTAATATTCATGAGAATTTTTCTCATGATAACTTATTTATTTAGTAATGTCAAGATTTGATCTCAGACTACCTTTATCCAAAGCATATGAGATATCATCTAGCTACAGCCCTACTCTCGGTGTAATTCTATCCACATGAGCAACTTACCTGTATACACATAATCGGAGGGATATATCAATTTAAAAGATATCCCTTCATTCATTTAGGTGCTGCTCTGGGAAATTTCTGATCTCTTAGAATGTTTTTTAAAGGATAAGTTTTGCTAGTGATGGAAGTGGGGAAATAAAAAGCTAGCAAGTCCAGACCAATATGCTTTCTTATTTCATGTTCAAAGCCTACAACTCTCAGTTAAAATATGGTCTTCTATATACTGTGTTCCTCTATTCACCATTTTCTTAGCGCCTGGCTGTGTTTTCTTCTCCTTTTCAAAATGACTGTTATTGACTTGATATATCCCTTTAACAGCAACTCTGTATCACTGTTGACATTTAATTTTCAGTTTAAATGTTTTAATTAAAATCTGACATCTTTTGGCATGATAATGAAAATGGCCTGGAATTACACTTGCAGATTGCATTTACATGAATGTATGAATTTGTTTCAAGAAAATTGACTTTACATTCATTCCTGTAGCAGCAGTACTGTAATTTGGCTACAGAGAATGCTTTCTTGGAGAGAGGAATAAAATTTCTAATAATATTACAGATATATTAGACTACAATAGAAGCAAAGTAACTAATGTCGCTTATTCATCTATATTAACTGTGTCTTCATTGGTTAAGCTTATGCCAAGCTTCAGCCAAAAATGTAATTATTCAAATAATTAAGAACCTCTCCAATGCTGAGTCAGCAACTCATTATCTGACTGCATTATCTGAATCATCTTGCCTCACTCACTGCATTTTAAGGAATGTGAGCTCCAGATGGTAGTCATGAATGAAGGTAAATATACATGTACCAGGATAATTTTGCAGGATCCAATCTGGATCAATCACCAGATTAACCTCTGGTCCCGGTGATCATCCCAGATTAGATCCTCTAGACAATAGTGATCATGGGTAGCTATCACATTTCCTCACAACTTATTGGCTACTTTCCCTATCAATGTTAAACAAATTAAATGAGAAAAGTAAAGACAGGTACTTATCCAATGCTTTTTGGCAGGAAGCTCTTTTTTAATCTGGACTATCCCAAGAAACATCTCAGGAATATGGAAAACACCAATCCTAAATTTACTTAACTACAGAATTTGTTTAAGTATAAAATAAACCTCATCAATTTCATTAGTGACTGAGAATGTAAATAAGTTATATGTCCTAATGAACAAAATAAAAATACTGTAGACATCAACCACTTCTATTTACAATAGATGTAAAGTACTGATATTCTGTATTTTCTGTGGAAGAAGCTGTGTTCACATATTTGCATTTCATATATAAATGTGTTCAGCTTTTCTGTTTTCTGTTGGGCACATTTTTAACTGAATTGGCAGAAATATAAATAACTTAAGAGTACTTTTTTGTGCATGCTTTGGTGTTTTATTTTTTAAAAATGAACACTGGATTGTCAATCTTGCAGTACTTGTACAGTGATTATCAGAGTGAACACAGAGAAAAAACTGTAAGGTTTCTTTTAAAAAAATTTCATCTATTCTCATGCAATGTTTTCTCTTTATCCTCATGAAGAATTCTACTATCACCCAAGGAGAAGCTTACAATCAAGTTCCACTGCTTTTCCCCATTGGTTATTTCTTTTTCTTTAAAAAGATGGTGCTTTGGATTGTCAAAAGCCATTTCAACAATAGTGTTAAATCCTGCTACATACTGGATGATCTTATGGATTCTCCAGTAAAGGCTTCACCCAGTGTTATCAGAGATGCTATGAAATACCTTGTCCATAAATAGCTGGGGGAAAAAAAACCCACATTTTCCCCCCTGCACTCAGCTGTCCCTTGTTTGACTATTGTGTAGTCTCTGCTTTTCCACCTGTCTTCCAAGTCTTATATGGGAGGCCTTATAAAATTACAGGTGCAGTCCATAGAGTTGCTGTGCCAGTGTCTTGCTTTCCAAAAGCTTCAGAAAAGATGGTATTCCACTAATGTGCAACACACAACCTCACCCACCTACTGAAGTGCTCCACAGTTTGAAGCTCCTGTTTTCTCAGATATATCCCAAGGTCATTTTCTTCTAACTCTCAGAAAGTCTGAAGAACTTCTTTGTCATCTCCTGGGGCCAAGGCTTTTTATTTTGGGAAAGAATATCAGAGACGTTTCCTTCTTGCTCTCTTCTTTTTAAATTTAAGCAGTTTTATGACGCTGACATCCCCTATAACAAAAGGTAGCAAATTTAAGGATGTGCCACTCTATTTCCTTGGCATCTTATTTTAAAGTAGGAAGCACACCAACAGATGAGTGAAAGCAAAATATTACATTTTTCAAAAACTGCATCTTTTTAAATGCAGTATTTATTTATGATGTCCAGGTTTCCATTGATTAGGCATTAGAAACTGGAAATCAACGTTCATACATAAAATGATGAACACAATTTTACAAAATCACAATAATTCCATCTCTCAGTACCATAACTAAATACCAAATGCCTTTTCCCCTCATGGATAATGTATTCTCCAAAATACAGATAAAGCCAAAATAATCTGGAACATATGATATGGTTAGTAGCCAGTAGAATAACTGGTTAACAAATTACTGCACTGAATACTTAGTATTAGAAATACAGATAATCACAGAGCAAGGTGTACTATAATTATTTCGATGGGACACTTCAGTTCCTAAACCCGCCAGCTGTCCATCATTTCATTTGTGCTTCAGTGTTAACTCTTTGCCCTTTGTATAATTGATATATATTGCTTGAATCCATAGGTCCCATTAATTTCAATATGGGTAGTCTTCGGTTTATGTCCATTTTCAGTGAACATTGAGGGTTTCAATGATGCTGAAAAAATGGGGGCATCACTGGTTCTTGAAGTTCTGGCCATTGTAGCACCTCCAGGTCACTTGAACATGATCTGCATGCTTGGGTGCCCAGCTCACTATTATGGCCTTGCAGGGAGTCACATGATCACCATTAGTGACCTCCAATGCCAGCTTCTAACAAGCAAAGTCAATAGGGAAGCCAGTGGGGGAAGGTTTCAAGTCACTCTGAAAATCTGCTCCTACTTTTTCCTCCTACTTACAGTAACCTCCTGCTGGCACGCAGCCTGTGCTGGCACTCTCCCAGTCTCTTCTACTCTTCTACTCTTCTTCTCCTCCCCATGACATTCTCCCATCTGCAGAAGGCATGTGCTATCTCTTCCAGGCCCTCCTCTGACCTTCCCCTCCATGTCACCTTACCTCGAGCTCCTGCCTCTTTCCACTTAATGATTTGGGGTTATTATGGCAGCTGGGATTGATTGGGATTGCTGTTGCTAAGAGATGCAATCACATAATGTCATGCTTTATGCCTGCATTATTTAGCAAGGGCAATCCCAATCCCAATTGTTGTCATAACCCGAGGACTATCTGTGTGATGCTACAATAATGATTCCAGTATAGTAAAATGCTTAGCCTAAAAATGAACTATTGTTCATATATCAGTTGCCAGCTGTGATTTTTTTCTTTACTATGATTGTCACCTTTATATTTTGTATTTTATTTGTAGCTTGTCACGAGATCAGACAGTATTAACTTTTTTTTTCTTTTCTTTGACAGGATCCCTCAAAATGTGGACGCAAGAAAACAGTCTCCTTCAGTAGCATGCCCTCAGAAAAGAAAATAAGTAGTGCAAGTGACTGCATCAGCTTCATGCAAGCTGGCTGTGAACTGAAAAAAGTCCGACAAAACTCTCGTATTTATAATAGATTTTTTACTCTTGACCCCGATTTGCAGGCACTTCGCTGGGAACCCTCTAAAAAGGATTCAGAGAAAGCAAAACTTGATATTTCTGCAATTAAAGAGATCAGATTAGGGAAGAACACGGAAACATTCAGAAACAATGGACTTGCGGATCAGATTTCGGAAGACTGTGCCTTCTCCATAATTCATGGAGAAAATTATGAATCCCTAGACTTAGTTGCCAATTCAGCAGATGTGGCCAACATTTGGGTATCAGGTTTACAGTACCTGGTTTCTCGTACTAAGCAATGTTTGGATTTGATAGAGAGTAGCCAAAATACTCCACGGTTTGCTTGGCTTACCTCTGTATTTGAAGCTGCAGATATTGAAGGCAATGGGATTATGTTGGAGGACACAGTTGTAGAATTAATAAAACAGCTGAACCCAGCCTTAAAAGAGTCCAAAATCAGACTAAAATTTAAGGAGATTCAAAGGAGCAAAGAGAAACTAACAACTCGTGTAACAAAAGAAGAATTTTGTGAAGCGTACACGGAGCTTTGTACAAGACCTGAAGTTTATTTTTTGCTAGTACAAATATCTAAAAACAAAGAGTATGTAGATGCCAAGGACCTTATGCTTTTTTTAGAAGCTGAGCAAGGGGTTGCAGGTATCACTGAGGACGTTTGCCTTGATATCATTCGTCGATATGAATTTTCACAGGAAGGGCAGTTGAAGGGCTTCCTTGCAATCGATGGATTTACACAATATTTGTTATCTCCAGAATGTGATATTTTTGATACCACACATAAGAAGGTTGTTCAAGACATGACCCAGTCTTTATCACACTATTATATTAATTCATCTCACAATACCTATTTGATAGAAGACCAAGTCCGAGGGCCAGCAGATATCAATGGCTATATCAGGGCACTGAAGATGAGCTGTAGAAGTATCGAACTGGATGTTTGTGATGGGCCAGATAATGAGCCCATCATTTGTAACTGTAATAATAGGGCATCACCTTTATCCTTTAAATATGTAATTGAAGTAATCAACAGATTAGCCTTTGTTTCTTCAGAGTATCCTCTTATTCTGTGCTTGCAAAACCACTGCTCCATACAGCAGCAGAAAATCATGGCTGAACATATGAAGAAGACTTTTGGGACCAAACTGTACACAGAGGCACCACTAGTGTCAGAAACGTATCTGCCATCTCTAGAGAAACTGAAAATGAAGATTATTATCAAAGGAAAGAAACTGCCTTATGGTAAGGATTTATTAGAAGGAGAAATCACAGATGAAGATGAAGAAGCTGAAATATCTCGCAGAAAGTCTGAAGAATATTTAGGGGACCCAAAAATGTCCTGGCTATGCAAAGAGCTTTCTGATCTTGTAACTGTATGTAAATCAGTCCAGTTCAAGGATTTTGAGAACTCAATGAAAAATCAGAATTATTGGGAAATGTGTTCCTTCAGTGAAGGAGAAGCTAGTAAAATTGCAAATGAATGTCCAGAAGACTTTGTCAATTATAATAAGAGATTTCTGTCTCGAATATATCCAAGTGCCATGAGAATAGATTCCAGTAATGTAAACCCACAAGACTTTTGGAACTGTGGCTGCCAGATAGTGGCAATGAATTATCAAACACCTGGGCCAATGATGGATTTACATACTGGATGGTTTCTACAGAATGGGGGTTGTGGTTACGTACTTCGACCTTCTGTTATGCGAGAAGAGGTGTCTTACTTCAGTGCAAACACAAAAGGCATCGTCCCAGGGGCTTCCCCACAAGTTTTACATGTCAAAATCATCAGTGGACAAAACTTTCCAAAGCCCAAAGGAGCCTGTGCCAAAGGGGATGTCATAGATCCTTATGTGTGTCTAGAAATCCATGGTATTCCCGCAGATCGTACAGAGCAGAGGACTAAAACTGTTCAGCAGAACAGTGATAATCCTATTTTTGACGAGAGTTTTGAGTTTGAGATCAACTTGCCAGAGCTTGCCATGATCCGTTTTGTAGTCTTGGATGATGATTATATTGGTGATGAATTCATAGGCCAATATACGATTCCCCTGGAATGTTTACGGTCAGGCTATCGACACGTACCTCTGCGCTCCTTTGTAGGGGACATCATGGAGCATGTTACACTTTTTGTGCACATTGCAATAACTAACCGGAGCGGTGGAGGGAAGGCCCAAAAGCGTAGCCTGACGGCTAGAATAGGAATGAAAACTAGAGACTATACTATGCTGAGGAACACAACCCTTAAGATTATAGATGATATCTTTAAGCTAGCAGTACACCCACTGAGAGAAGCAACTGACCTGAGGGAGAACATGCAGGTAAGGAAAACTGAGGTGTTTTTTTTATTTTCATAATTGAAAGCTTGGTTTAACAAAATATCATATGAAATACAGATATTGGTGCTATTCCTGGTTGTTAGGTTTTTTTAAAATAGTTAGGATTATAATCACCATTAGTAAAAATTATACTGGCTAAATTCAAAGAAATTGCTATCTATAGTTTCTGTCTTTATAGGGTCAAAACACTGAAGCTTAGGATTTTTTTGCTTGCCTTGAAGTTGGAGGCTTCCAATTTCTCCATGTTATTCTTACTCTCCCGAATTTTTCTACAACAATGAGCTAGTTTTTATTTTTTTTAAGTGCTCCTCTGTGGTTGAGAAATTAGATTACAATGAACCTGCACTATTATTTGAGATGCATTGTTTGTACACTTCTATATATAATTCTTATAATAGCCTTCCCATTTTTCTGGAAGGGAGGATGCACTTATACAGTTCTGGATAATACAATTCTGTGTATGAGAGAGAGAGGGAGGGAATGGGAGGGAGGGAGGAAGAGACAGACAAAGTCATACTATTTGGTGCTGTCCCATGAATTCAGAATTCTAGAAACTAGAAAATATTACTAATTGTAGAACACTGCTATTCAGAGAATATTATTATACTTATAAATCCATGACATAATCATAAACCTGTACTTATTTAAAAGTAAAACCCCGCTAAATACAGTGAGATTGTTTTTATGTAATCAAGTTTGTAATATTAAACTCTTCTGAACTTTTATCTTCTTCTCAAGCTTGTTCTCAGTTATACATGGACTTGCACGTATAAATGTCTTTTTAAAGCATCAATTCAATTGTTTAGATAAGCTGTTTCCTCTTAATTTTTCATTTTCAAGATATTTAGAAAACAAGGCTTTACTTGTAGAAGAGTCATGGAACATTTCCCATCACAAGAGCAAATATATTAGTAATAGGTTCAGTTACTGATATATATATATATCCCACAGTATGTAAACTTCAGTGATTTATGATTGGAGACCAAATAAAAAATAGCAATGTGACACACAATATGAAACGAATAGCAAGACAGATTCATGACAGATTGTTAAGACTGTTCTGGGCAATCCCTCTGCTAAATGGTCACCAGACCCCATACCTCCTGGTGGTAGCATTGCTACTTTCCTGGAAATTTTTAGTGAGAGATTGGAGAGTAAGAAGCATCTAATTTTTGTTTCTGACCAATTCATACAGTAGGAGAGGTGAGGATATAAACTCTGCATACCAAGTACAGAGGAGGAGACAGTGGAGTATGATAAGCGTTCCTGACTTAGTAGTGATAATAGCATCAAAACAAATACAAAATGATTGTATTAAGGGAATGCAATTAAAGCTTTTCACTTCCAATATGAAAGGTAAGGGATTAAATCATGCAAGCGTGAAGTATTCTTCTGGGTAGAAAATGTATTGTTCTGTAGATCGAGACGGCGAAAGACTGGAAATGATCTGTAACCATCGCAATCATTAAAAAGGATGACATCTAACCCAGTATGCTTTCTAATAAATGTTATGCTAAGACTTTTTATGTAAAACTGAATATTAACTGTCTCAAGAAAAGATTTTAATTGTGGTTTTAAGCGAGGCTTTTTGATTTGGGGGAAACGTCAATATTTTGAAAAAAAAATGCTGTTTTTATTGACCTGAAAACAGATTTCTGTTCAATTTTTCCTGAGGCAAAGCCAGCTTCTTCCTCTATTGGCAATCATGAATAACAGCTAATCATTATGTTCTGTGAAGATATCTTACTCCAGTCAAATGTAACATTCTACCACTCTCACACTCTTAATTTGCATGCAAACAGGAGTTAAGCAAGGATATATCCTTGCCCCCATCTTATTTCATTGTTATGCTAATGGTGTTATATGGACCATTTCTAAACAGGAATCTTGATGTCCACTAAAGCACCAATTATTTTCTGTGCTTCTTTATACTGATAACACAGACTTTTTTATGGGTATTAATCAAATACTATCTGGATGAGGATTTGGAAATAAATCATTCCAAAATGAAGGTGTTCCTTTTCACTGAGAAACAACAGCAGTAGAAATAGTAAAGTAGTGATTTTCAAATTGAGCAAGCAAAGCTGTTCCAGTACTCAGATATTTTCTTCCAGCCCTTCTTCCTGGACACATGGGACCCATGAAGAATCAGTCCTGGCTCAAAAGGCTGCAAACACAATTATTACATTTGTCAGATGCAATGAGAATACTTTAGTTCCTGCTGCAAAGTAATGCTAAAGTTTTGAGGTTTGTTTTTTTTAGTGTTCAGTTTTGCATTGATTCTGACCTCTCTCCCTCTGAAACAATTTAATTCAAATGTATTACGATTCTATTGTAAGTGCTTTCTTCTATTCCCAATACTTTGGATAGAATTAAAAGAATCTGCCACCTTAAATATTGGCTGAGACAATACTGTTAGGGTTTTTGGCTCGCTCAGCTTATTTTTGATAAGTTTATTTCTGCTTGGAAAAAAAAACCTTTTGCCATTTTTTTTCTTTTGTGGCATTTCTTCTGTTTTAATATTATATATCTTGATAGAGCTATGCTGTTATGATATGAATAATGAGTGATTTTATATGTTGCATTACCATGTATATTGCATTGTACAGAAGTATAGAAATTCTATGAAGCTTGCACTTTAGGATTAAAAACAATAATAACAAAAATAGATAATCAACCTAAAGAAATAATATGTAGTAATATGTTGGAGGGGAAATTGCAAACAAAATTCAATCACAATTATAAAACAAAAATCCAGTATCAGATAGTAGATCATACTCTATTCCAAGTCCCCTGGAAGAGCCAGATTTTTAGATCTTTACAAAAGCATAACTGGATCAGGCTTGTATGCCCTTCAGGGGAAGTGCAGTTTCATAGTATCTTACAGCCCAGAGAAAGCTAAATCGCCTAGATCAGGGGTGAGGAACCTTGGTTCTTTTATGAGTCATAAAAGAGCCAAGATTCCCCACCCCTGGCCTAGATTCTCACAAGAGGATACAGTTTGTACCTGGACTATCTTAACTCAGGCAAATCTTACTATCTGAGAACAGGAGAAAGTTGATCCTTTAGGTATACAAATCTGAAGTTATGAAGGGCTTTATAAGTGACAACCAACTTCTTGAAATGTATCTTGAAGATCACTAGCAACCAACACAGCCCACAGAGTCAACCTGTGTAAAATGGGGAGTGCCTATAACTATTCCCACTGCTGTATTCTGGACCAGCTGTAACTTCTGAATGATTTTCAAGGCTAGTCCCATATAGAATATTCTAGTAGTCAGGACAGGAGTTAACTAAAGAACATATGACTGTATGAAGGACCTTCCAATCCAGGAAATATCGCTATTGGAACATAAGATGGATCCATTCAAAGGCCATCGTGATCATAACTGCCACTTATTCATTGAGCTGGATCCAAAAACCCTGGAGGATCTTCAAATTATGCAAAGTTCCTCTGAGAGACTACAACCATGTTATAAACTAAAAGTGGTGAATCTCTGTAAATGGACGTTTCTTAATTTCAAAATGATCAGTCTTGTAGAGTTGAGCCTAAGGGTATTTGTCCCCTCCAAATCCTCAGCCCCAGGACCTGGATGGCACTGCCTGGACAGTCTGTGGCTGTTTCAGATCCCCCTATGTATCTTTCCAGTGTGTAAGAAAGTGGTAAGAATCTCAAGCAAGTGCATTGAGCTTGCTGGCTGGCCTGGAAAATTCTGAGAATTGCAATTCCTGAAAATCTGGAAGGCTCCAAGTTGGGGAAAACTGTGTACAGCAAAACATCAGTTGTAATTAACATAAAATGAATGAGCTTGTAAGATTTGCATTTAAACAGCAATGTTCTGCTAATATTTGTAGGTCAGTGAAGAGAATGGCTTGCAAGAATTCTTTTTATTTAGCCATAAAGTTGAGGTTTGCTTAAATTCTTATTGGGAAATTGTTGGATTTCTTTATACAAAGAAAGCCTATTGTAAACTAAAAATAAATGTTAATATTGCCAAACAACGGAAAGTTGCCTCTTCTACTGTTATAGGCTGTAATCAGTTCCATACACACAGATGTTCCATTCAATTTCTGTTCTGTTTGGATTACAACTATAGTAGCCAAATGTAGGTACAGAGCCAAGTTGGCTGGATGCAATTCAGGTGGCTTTTTCAGGACTCATGTCTGTAAAGGAATGCTGCATCTTGCCAAATTCTCTACTGCTGAATTGTGATAAGCAATAAAAAGTGTTCCTCGGAGTTAGGGGTTAAAGCTTGTAATAGATCATGGCTCTGTTCAAACTTCTTCAATTTGATAGACCCAGATCTGGAAAGGCTGTGCAATTTGAGACCCTTTAAACAAATAATCCATCAGCAAAAGCCTATAGCCAGCTACTAGACATCATCCCTGTATTTGTATTCTCTGACATACAATTAAAAACAAACTCCTTGTGAACTGGATGGTGGGTTGAAATGAGCATGCTGGGTCTGAATTACAAATGGATATGATAACAGAGAATATGTGATTAATTATTAAGGCCCAATCATAAATGCAGTTCACATTTGTTTGATTTTGTGATTACTCATTTATTATGATATTCAATACAATTGTCCTGGGTTAACAAAGTCAATCTAAGCTCAGAATCAGCTAGATACTCATTTACATCAGTGCTACAGCTCTTCTCTCATATAAAGGGCCAGGCTGTCTTCTGACTTACTATACCATGTTGGAAAAGAGTAGAGAAGTCATGGGCCCTATACAGCTCCATAGCACCCAGACACAGCACCACTGAAACTCAGAGGTATATGAGTTTTCAGAGGCCCATTAAGATTTTTCTTGTATTTTTATTTTCAAAAATAGGGGTGGAAATGGGAGGATAAGAATGGGAATGAAAAGCCTCTGAAGACAAAGTACTGTAATCGCCACCTTTAATTTTTACTTGTTTCCCCAAATGTTTTAAAATATTGTCAGAGTTCTAGGGCTGTTTGAAGAAGAATTGAAGGTTATTATTATAGGTGGAAATGGGAGCAGTTTGTTTACCAGAGGCTTTCTGCTCCCATTATAGGTGGAAATGGGAGCAGTTTGTTTACCAGAGGCTTTCTGCTCTTAAAAGCTCAGAAAAACAGGTCAAAGATTAGCCCTGTTCCTGTGACATCACCACCTTTCTTGTAATATCACCTAAAACATTTGCTACTCCACTCTTGGAACTAGAGTAAAATTAGATTTCCCATTTTGTAAGATTTGGCTCCAGTAATTCTTTATCGTAATAGCTGAAGACATCATGTTTGAAATATAATTTGGAACAAGATTTTGGGGTTGAATTTTTATCTTCAGTACCTGAATGTATAAGATCTGCCCCCTCTCTTTTAGCCTTCAGGAAAAGCCTTAATACTTGGCTATGCTGACTGTCATGGGGCCCTGAAAGAGAAGCTATTGGCTGGAGCTAATTGGTGCACTTAACAGAGAAGGCATCCCCACCTTTCTGCTCCAAACCCATGTTTTTATTTAGTTTTAATTTTCGTAATGTTAATTATTCATTTTATATTTATAATTGTTTGGATATTTGTATATTTTATCTCAGCGTAAGCCACTCAATCTCGTTGAACTATGAGATGGGTGGCAAATAAATTTAACAACAATAACAATAATAACAATAACAATAATTTGAATATAAATGATAGACCTAAATGTGTTTAGGACTGTTGTCATTTGCAAGAAACAAATACAGAAGAAAGCAGACAAAAACATTTCATGGGGGTGAATATTGGACATTATCCATGCACTAGAGGATGGCAGATGCTAGTTTTTCTCTCATTGTGCTAAGTTCAGTCCACTTTCTTGGCTCCATCTATGGTCTTTGCAGCAAACCACAGGGTCACCAGTATAATGATACATGCACAGTGATGCCATTACACACATGCCCTCATTACATACTTGCATCCTAGTGTCTGGCGCAACTATGTAAATCATGACATATGTGTGTTGATGTTGTTATTCATATTTTCATGATTTGCCTTTTCTTACTCTCCATCCATAGAGTGTTGTCCCTTCAGTGCTGCAGCCCAAATTCTCTAGCTTTAAATAAAAGCTAAAAATACTAATTGAAGATGTTGGGTGTACCATTTCTTTCTCTTCAGTGTTATAGTGAATACACTGTGGTTCTGATTTTGAGTACTTCAAAGTACTCGAGCCTTTTTAAGTGTGCCATTTTGGTTTGAAAAGAAATGCACAGAAGTATTTTGAGTTTTATAGAAAAGGGTATGTTACTTATGGTAAGCCATAGTTCTCTTCAACGCAGTCAGAAACAAGATGAATTGGTGTCAATCAAATGTATATCTCTGTGAAAATTCGTTCTTGCAGTTTGTGTGTCCTATTTGAGGTACCGACCCTCTAGACTAGGTCCCACCAATATTGAATGTGGTAACTACACTTGTCTTCTTAATTTATAAATTATGGTAGTCTGTGGAAATTAAGATAGACTTCGAAGCCAACAGTGCCATCCATCCCTGCTGCTACCTGTGATGGCACTGTTGTCCAACCATGGAGACACTAATAATATAATACTGATTCTGAGTCTCACCAGTCTGTGAAATACTGTACATGGTGATAATAGTTTGCAGTGAGAATAACTGGCTTTTTTTCCTATTTTCAATAGAATTCCATTCTCTCTGTGAAAGAACTTTGTGGCCTCCCACCGATTACCAGTCTGAAGCAATGGATTTTAACCTTGGTTTCACGGCTTATGAACAGTGACAGTGTCCCTTCAGTAGCTCTCTGCATGAAGGACAACTTTCCTTATCTAGAACCATTGGGAACTCTGACAGATGTGCAGAAGAAGGTTCTAGCTGCTTATGACCAGGTTTGAGCTTGCCTATAGTTTTTATTTGTATTATGAAAAATATTTGAATTCGAAAGAAGGAAGCAGGCCATTCAATTTGCCTTGCACAGTGCAGAACAAGAGTATGCTCTATTAGATTTTCTATTAGTGTGGCAAAAAAATAAGCTTTTTGTCAGAAGAAATCCAGTTCTCAGTCACATTTTAATAAGGGTTTTAACAATTGATCCACAAATGTTTTAAAGAGCTAGATATATTTAGCTCACCAAAGAGAAGGTTAAAGAAGACTTGATAGGCATCTTTAAATATTGGAAGTGCTGTTGTGCAGAAGATATGAAAAGAGACAAGGTTAAACAAGATCAAACTCAGTAAATGGAAATTTAGGAAGCATATTTTCGCAGAACATTTAGAGATAGCTTTTAACATCATGAGGGTTTTTTTCCCGTAGAAAAGACTATTTTAAATGGTGATATTTTTTTTCTGGAAATATTTAAGCAAAGTCTGGATATTTTAATGATATTCTGCACTGGATGAGGAACTGGAATAGCTGTCTTGACATCAATATCCAATTTTTTGATTCTGTGATTCAAATTGTCACTGAAATTACTTTAGGACAGAAATGGAACAGTTGGCAGATTTAAGAGAAGAATTGATATCAATTCTAACAAAAAATATATCCCATATTGGTAAGAAGGGAAATTTTGGGAGTTGATGGGGAAGGCTAATAGAAAGCAGTGGAGAAATTGTGACAATGAAAGACAGAGAAATATGCCTAGGAGAGTGCATCCCTGAACACCAGCTAGTAGTTTATTATTTATTTATTTATTTAGGATTTGATGAGAACATGACAGAAAAGCTGTCAGAAGACAGAATGAAAACTTAATCTCCCACCCCTGGATAATCTCAGTCATACTTCCAGCTGGGAAACTGAGTATCCTAGACCGTGCTAAATTCAAAAATGCCATCAAGCTTGGCATTCAGACAAATCAGAGGTCAGTAGACACATAGAAATAAACCACATTTACACACCATGCAAACGAGACAATTAAAAAAGCTAAGAATGAAACCAAATGACCAGAACACATCCTATCCATCACCCACCATTCATATAAGCAAGTATTAACACTAGGCATAATCATCAATCAGAAAATGATAGTCTAATCAAGGAACTACCAAGGTGAAAATCACACCCCCACCAACATGGCAGGACAAGCCTTTGTATGTAAACTGGGAGCAAACTCCACATTGACTCACATTGAGGATGTTACCTAGTTCGTAATGAAATGTTTGCAGCCAAACAACTAAGTTCAGAGAGCACCAAAAACTCCACAGTAATATAGATTTTTTTTTATACATTGCCTCATATTTGATGATTATTCAACGGTAATGTAAATCTTTCACATTGCCTCATGATGTGCTTATTAGCAAGTTAGTTAAGTGTGGACTAGACAGCATGACAATCATATTTATTTATTAAATTTATATGCTGCTCATCTGAGCGATAAGGTGATTCTGGGTGGCTTACAGATGATAAACAAGGTGAATATAGAAAATAAAATTTTTAACAGTTATATAAGAGCTATATATAACTATATATAACTTATATAACTATATATAAGAGGAACGTTTCATGCAAAGATGGGCATGATAAAGGACCAAAATGGCAGAGACCTAACAGAGGCAGAAGAGATTAAGAAGAGATGGCAAAACTACACAGAAGAACTATACAAGAATGAGCTTAACATCCCAGATAACCACAATGAGACGGTCACTGACCTCGAACCAGACATCCTAGAATGTGAAGTGAAATGGGCCTTAGAAAATCTGAGCAACAACAAAGCTAGTGGAGGTGACAGTATTCCAGCTGAGCTATTCAAAATCTTAAAAGACGATGCAGGAAAAGTGCTACACTCAATTTGCCAGCAAATTTGGAAAACTCAACAGTGGCCACAGGATTGGAAAAGGTCAGTTTACATTCCAAGTCCAAAGAAAGGCAATGCCAAAGAATGTTCAAACTATCACACCATTGCACTCATTTCACATGCTAGTAAAGTTATGCTTAAAATCCTACAAGCTAGACTCCATCAGTATGTAGATCGAGAACTACCAGAAGTACAGGCAGGATTTCGAAGAGGCAGAGGAACTAGAGATCAAATTGCCAACATACGCTGGATCATGGAGAAAGCTAGGGAGTTCCAGAAAAACATCTACTTCTGCTTCATTGACTATGCAAAAGCCTTTGATGGTGTGGATCACAACAAATTGTGGCAAGTTCTTAAAGAGATGGGAGTACCAGACCATCTCATTTGTCTCTTGAGAAACCTATATGCGGGTCAAGAAGCAACAGTGAGAACCGAACACGGAACCACTGATTGGTTCAAAATTGGAAAAGGAGTCCGGCAAGGCTGTATACTGTCGCCCTGCCTATTTAACTTATATGCAGAGCACATCATGAGAAAGGCAGAGCTAGATGACTCAAAAGTTGGAATTAAGATTGCCGGGAGAAATATCAACAACCTAAGATATGCAGATGATACCACTCTAATGGCAGAAAGTGAAGAGGAACTAAAGAGCCTCTTGATGCGGGTGAAGAAGGAGAGTGCAAAAGTGGCTTGAAACTCAACATTAAGAAAACCAAAATCATGGCATCCGGCCCTCTCAATTCCTGGCAAATAGATGGGGAAGAAATGGAGGTAGTGACAGATTTTATTTTTCTGGGCTCCAAGATCACCTCAGATGGGGACTGCAGCCAAGAAATTAAAAGACGCTTGCTCCTGGGTAGGAAAGCTATGGCAAATCTAGACAGCATTCTAAAAAGCAGAGACATCACCCTGCCAACAAAAGTGCGTATAGTCCAGGCCATGGTTTTCCCAGTTGCAATGTATGGCTGTGAAAGTTGGACCATAAGAAAGGCTGAGCACCAAAGAATTGAGGCCTGTGAACTATGGTGCTGGAGAAGACTCCTGCGAGTCCCTTGGACTGCAAGGCGTTCAAACCGGTCAGTCCTAGAAGAGATCAACCCCGACTGCTCTTTAGAAGGCCAGATCCTGAAGTTGAAACTCAAATACTTTGTCCACCTAATGAGAAGGAAGGACTCACTGGAGAAGGGCCTAATGCTGGGAAAGATTGAGGGCAATAGAAGAAAGGGACGACAGAGAATGAGATGGCTGGATGGAGTCACTGAAGCAGTAGGTGTGAACTTAAATGGACTCCAGAAGATGGTAGAGGACAGGAAGACCTGGAGGAACGTTGTCCATGGGGTCGCGATAGGTCGGACACGACTTCGCAATTAACAACAACAACAAGAGCTAATACCAAGCAGGTGGATTGCATGAGGGTGAGATCTTCTTCTTATCCCATCAACTACCTCCAACAAAGGAGGCCTCCATTGTGTCCCAAGCCAACTGGCAAAACCAGATTTTACCCCTCCTCCCCCTCAGAAGACCAAAAGGGTGGGAGCAGATATCACCTCTGACAGTAGAAGCTTCCACAGGGAGGGGCCACAGCAAAAAGCCTCTTCTCTTCGACACTAAAAGCTGAAATTAACATCCAGGGTCCATATCCTTTTCTGCTGGAGGGAGTGGGACAGGGTAAACTCCTTGGGCCAAGACAGCTCCTCAGATGCCCTGGATCCATGCCATATATATTTATTAAATTTATATGCTGCCCTCTTACTATCAAAGTGACACCTATACAAGTACAGATAGTCCTCACCTTACAACCACAATTGGGACCAGAATTTCTGTTGCTAAGCAAGACGGTTGTTAAACAAGCTGTGCCAAATTTTATAACCATTTTTACCATGGTTGTTAAAGCAAGTCACTGCAGTTGTTAAGTGAATCATGGTTTCCTCCATTCACTTTACATGACAGAAGTTGGCTAGGAAAGTCATAATTGACCATGATATGATCCTGGGATACTGCAATCATTGTAAATATACGCTGATTGCCAAGCCAAATTTTAATCACATGACTATGGGGATACTGTGACAGTCATAAGTGTGAGGACTGATTATAAGTCACTTTTTTCAGGGCTGTTGTAACTTTGAATGATCACTAAATGAATGAATGTAAGTTGAGGACTACCTACATTCAGAAATGTTACAACAAGGATCAGACCTGGGTCCTTTTATGTTTTAGTATTTTATTTGTGTTTTTGAATGAAGATGTTTATGAAGTTTGCAGATAATACAAAACTGAATAGTATAGCTAATACTCTAGAAGACTGGAAGAAAATCACAACTAAATAATAAAACAAAACGAAAAAGGCTTTAGTGTAGGGACAATGCCACAACTGATGAGGTTAATCCAAGACATAGTTATTTCTATTGTTTTATCCAAGCCCTCATCTCAAAAAATAATGTTAAGATTATAGCTTGGATATTTTAGAACAGAACTGTGTTTTTTTAATGTAGTAATTGGCATATTATTGTTATTTGCAGAGATGATAAATCTGATGCTTTAGAATGTAGAGATGATTTTGATTGTATTGTAGCCTTGAATTTATACTCCGAATTGCCACAGACAGGTTTGATTAGGAGCAAGCAGGACAGAAATATGATAGATAAATAAATCACCAAAACATATTTTTTTCTAAACCAGTGACCTCGTCTGATTTATTCCAGTTTATAGGTAATAGACAGCACCCCAAATTTAATATCAATGAAATTAGAAAAAATACTTCTCTTTTATTTACAACTAAAATATTGGCATATAATAAAATGTCATGTTCTTCTTGCCCCCTCCACTTCTGAGTAATTCCTCTGATATTTCCAGAATTTAGATTAGGTAGGCAGAGGATTCTAAAACCAAATCTAAATAAAAGGCAAAGGAATGCATCCTTGATACAACTCTCAGTATAAATGAAATGAGAAAGCACGTGATTAATAATCACCTGTCATTCAGGAGCTGACTGAAATACATCAATCCAAAATATAAAACATTGCAGAAATAAACCAAAATAAATCAAAACTTATTTCAAAAACTGCCAAGAGGCTATTTTAAAGCTTGCTTGACAGCCTATGA